CCCCCCACGACGCCAAGATGATGCTCAACCCCTTCATGGACACAGGCCCCGGCGGCCCGCACGGGCTCACCCACAGCGCGCTCAAACTCAGCCCGTCCAACCCCATGGGCGATCACGCTGCCAGCCTACACCACAACCAGTTCGCCGCGCAGGTCAACGGCTACGGGGTCAGCGCGCATGCGCCGCACTCCCAGATCAGCAGCTACGCGGCCAGGGACTTCCTGATCCGTCGCGGCGCCGAACAGTTCAACCTGCCGGGCCACGAGGCGGCGGGCGGGCCCCACGCCGGGATGTTCGGGGTTCCATCCTCCGTGAGTATGGCCGCCGCGGGTCTACACACGCCCCACCACCCAGACTCCGCCTCCGCCGCTAGTCACGTGCTATTCCCCGGCCTCCATGACCCCGCCCACTCCGGAGTGGGACCGCCCCACGTCAACGGACAGATGTTTCCTTACGCGCGCGCTCACGATCAGTTCAACCAGATGGCCGTAGCCGCTCACCCCCGCGCCGCGGACCACTTCGGGGGTCATCACCAACACCTGAACCCCATGAACGCCGCCATGGCTGGCCACCACCACCGCATGAACATGGGACCCCACGGCCCCGGCGCCTTTTACCCGTTCATGAGGCACCCCATCAAACAGGAGCACACCTGCCTCTGGGTGGATTACGACCAGGCGGAGCCAAAGAAACCCTGCAACAAAATCTTCACCACCATGCACGAGATTGTGACTCACATCACGGTGGAGCACGTGGGCGGGCCGGAGCAGGCCAACCACGCGTGTTACTGGCAGGGCTGTCCACGTGACGGCCGGCCCTTCAAGGCCAAGTACAAGCTGGTCAATCACGTGAGAGTCCATACCGGGGAGAAACCGTTCCCGTGTCCCTTCCCAGGCTGTGGCAAAGTTTTCGCGCGCAGTGAGAACCTCAAGATACACAAACGGACGCACACTGGTGAGTACTTATTTAAAGAAAAAAATAATGAGTTACTGTGATCATTGAGGGTGGGTTGTTGGAGGGTGCTCAAGATACACAAACAGGCGCACACTGGTGAGTACTTATTTAGATGACAGTTTCTGGGATCATTGAGGGTTGGTGGTTGGAGGGTAGTCAAGATACACAAACAGGCACACACTGGAGGGTACTTATCTAAAAAAAAATAAAAAATGACAGTTACTTACTGTGGTCATTGAGGTTGGATGGGTGGGTGATGGGAGGGTGGTCCTGGTTGGTTCCACTTCTTTTTTTCTTTTTCTTTTTTCTTGTTGTAAGTGTTCTACTGCTTTACTTTCCCTCTGTTGTTTCTGTCTCTCCATCTTACTTTATTTCGCCGGTACTTACTAACCCTTTATGTGTCTGGGTGCTTCTTTTTACTCAAACAAACTAACAAATCTTTTACGCTATTTAGCCAAGGTCTGCGTGGTCTTTTTTTTTCCTCCTGATGTTTCTGTCTGTCTGTCTGTCTGTGTGTCTGCCTTAGTCCCCCCCCCCCTGCACTAAACCACCGTTATTGTGTCAATATGTTTCTCTTTAAGCGAGACCCACAGCGTATGCCCTCGCTGTAAATCTTATTACAAGAACGGCGCCTCTCGGCTGGCTTATGTACGCCTATCAGGAGCGGAGTTTAAATCTTCCTGCAACTAGACCCCCGTAAA